AAATAGAGTTTCCTATTTCGTTATATCGACATATCTTCGATATTTAAACTTCGTTTGCGCTGATTTTCGTAACCAGTTTCCCAAAAAACCGCTGCATACGAAATTTCATGTCATTTTAAGATAACACCTTTTAGAAAGTCCCTCCTGAAAAAAACATAAAGTTGTTTAAATATTTGACCGCCACCCTGAAAAAAACTATATAATTTAAAAGCAACGGTCAGGAATCTAAATTGAATTTATTTTGAATACATTAAATACATTGTAGTTGCTTTTTTGTGCAATGTACATTGGATTTTGGATTAATTTTTTAATGTAGATGCGTGACATTCCATTTCATCAACAAGTTAGATTTGAAATCACTGATGCACAATCGAATAGCTGTCATTAAGTGATCATCAGTTAAAGAACTCCTCAATTGCGATTTGATGTTTTACATTTGAGAAAACGTTGCTCCACATAGATAAGTAGAGCCAAAAAATGTAAATATATTTATTGTCACCGATCTCAATCATGCAGGTAATAAATTCCAAAAATGCTTTTTCAGAATTGTATCTAATTGTATTGTTATTAACTCTAGATGCGAAGAAGTCAATTGAAAAGTATAAGTTAAATTTGATGAAATATCGTCATCAAATTCTTCGAAAGGAAATGAAATAAATTCAAAAATCAGTTGAAGATTATTGATAATTGCAAATCGTCTATCAAACTCTTGATTTAAAATTTTTGGTACACATTTTGGATTAAAAGATTTGAAATTAACCTAGTAAGTTATTTAAAATGTCTACGATCGACTGTCCAACTGTTCGCGATGGATCGATCGACCGTTTTCCACCCCTGCTCTATATAATGTAAAATGAGATAGAATGAACGCACAACCTGTTTGACGGCCATCAGATAACAAGTTGAATCATGCACCAATCTTTTTTATGTCATTTCTAACCCTTTGGAAAGTAGACATTCTACCAAAGTACTTAATAAAAATCTTCTACATAAAATTATCATATTAACCTGGACGCCCCACATCTTAGCCACTCGGAACAAGGTCATGGGTGCATTCATCACACTCAAGCCTTTCTTCTCCATCTATCAGCATACAAAAATCCGTGCGTTTGACGCAATGATCAGGAGCATTTACACCTATGCCATTCCCGTCTGGGGTTGAGCCCTTCCCCACTGCCTGAAACTTCTGCAAGGCAACTACATGCGGATCCTTCGTTCCGCACTAAACTACTCCTAGTTCATCAGAAACACTCAAATTCTAAAAGAAACCGGTTTATCTTCTCTTCCTGAGGCTGCAATCTCATTCGCGGCAAATCTCCAGCCTCAGTGTCAAACTCCACCATTTCGACACTCTCCAACTTCGCCCCGAAACCAAATGACCTGTCACCTTCTACAATGAGCCACTCACTTTCGCTCACTTTTAGCTTCGCTTTTTAGCGCGAGTGTCCACCCATCACCTCAGAGGTGGACCACATACTTCAAAGGTTTCTATCCCCTAATACTCCACCCAAACTCAACCTTTTTCCCAACTCAATCCTTTTCCCTATACCAATCTTTCTATTTCCTTGCCGGGGATGAGCAACCTTCAGGTTTATCTTCCTACTCGAGGAGGGGTTTTAATCGGTAAAAATCCGACACACCTCCCCTCAGGATATGTCTTTTGAGTATTCCCCTGTTCGAGAATAATCTAAACAAACAAAAAGCCAGGTTCATACATCCCCTTCTGGCGACGAGTTCCCCGCTAAAGTACAACGTACAAAATGCCATTGTGCAGCCACAGTTGAAATATATTCTGCATCTATGTTAGAATCAAAGTCTGCCAACGTAGGTATGTCTGGAGCATGGCGTTGTACGGGTACAAAACGATGACGGTGGGTGCGGAGGAAAAGGTTAGAAGAATTCGAAATGTGGTGTTACAGGCGAATGATAAGGATACTGTAGATAGAAAAGGTTAGAAATGAGGAAGTATTAGAAAGAGTAGGAGAACAGAGCGCTATGGAGGTAAATAAGAAGTAGGCGAGACAGGTTCGTAAGACACCTTCTCAAGCATGAAGGGCTAGTTAGAGATATCAGAAGCAAAAACGGAACTAAAAGAAGCAGAGGTAGACCAAGCTTAGATTACTGTTCAAAGATAGTCAAAGATGAGGAAAATTTCAGTTTTAGGGAAATGCGAAGATTAGCTCAGGATAGGAAACAATGCAGGTGCGTGTCAAATCAGCCTTAGGAGTGACGACCTTACGATAACAATAATGAATAGTGTATCACCAACAAAGTTACCAAGACTAAAAATGTTCATTTTATTTTATTGATGATTTTGACTGAAGTGGATATGTCATCAATAACATTATTCTTGTCTGGTATGTAACACATGATAACATTAAATCTTATATTCTTTAGTGTTGTATTCTTTTAGTAATTCTATTTTTTGGTTGCGAAGCAAATCATCGATAACGCCCTTTACACGAATAATTTTAATTTGTTCATTCATGAAGATCTGGACTTCGTGAATGCGAATTTTAGGTTTGAATTTTTGAACCTTGGTATCATTATTTAGCGTTTGAGACAGGTCGATACTCTGATATTTTAAATCGTTATTTACTTAGATTGTCAGTCAATGGATGCTGTACTCTTCTGTGTATCATTCTCATTACCGAATTCTTACATGCCTTGCACCATTAAGCATACCACTTTTCCTGCTTCATAATTGCAATCTTATCTTCAGATGCATTTATTTCTGTATAGTTTAGTAACTCTAGAGACTTTAATGCATAGTTGTCGTGAAATATTCCTTGGCAAATGAAAGGAAATACAATGTTACACAATTTAGACGACATTATTAAAATACAACACTTCAGATAAGTATACCACAAACGATATAACCGTCAGGCAACACAGTTCACTCTTAACTCTGAAACTAATTACTTAAAGCAATTCGCCTCTAAACTGAAGAATCTTTATGCGATAAACAATAAAACGAAATGATACGAAAAAATTAACATCGTTATCATTTAGCATTTCCTTTTCAAAAAGAGTAAATGGTTTCATACCTGCTTCTTTACCTCCTTTTACACAAATCCCAAAACCATGGGTACCGTCTGGAGGATCTCTAATCATCGTAACGGTTCGAGTAACTAATTCATGAACGTTAGAAGGGGGACGATAGTGTATGGTAGATGCGGGACTACTAGCTGGACTTCGTCTGATAGGCCGTTCAGAATTTAATTTTGAATTCGATTGACTGTGAGTCCCAAACATTCGCAGCACTTGTTCAGGAGAGATCGGGCGTTTCTTGTTGCTCGAAGTATTACGATCGAAAGCTGGATTCGAACCCAAGTATGTTCCTGCAAAAATTAAAAAAAATCATTTAAAACCAGTAACAACGTCAACAATTTCATTATTTGGAAGTCATACATTGACTGAATAATTTTTGACTTGATTCAGCAATAACAATTTATGAATACTGATCAATTGACTTACAATTATATCTACAGGTGAGACAAGATGTACTTTTGACACTACAAATATGGTTTAACACGTAAATGAGTTCTCCAAAACGTCTGTGGAACAAAAAATGGATTTTTTGAACGATACGGATTTATTGAAATCAAGAAAAACACTAAAATGAAAATCCTTGATACGTATTATTTCTCAAGAAATAGAGTTTCCGGGATGCAATTCATTTAGCCGACAATTAGATCTCAGTAAACAGGGTGTTTCTGAAATAAGTAGCAAGCTTACAAGAAGCAATAGAACACCATAAAACAAAAACATTAAATAAATGTTTTCGAGAAAAACCTATTTGAAAGTTTACGTATCTGCATTTTGGAGATACAATTGTTGTACAGTGTTTGAATCCACATTTTCGTTGTTTTTCCAAAGTTTTTTATTTGTTCGCATAACATGCTGTCTACTCTCGCGGCTTTCCTTTTTTTGCCATTTTGATTGCCTTCCTAACTTCGTCATAGGTAATCTGTGTGGGGATTATCCTTCCTCTCGATTTAACTCTGTTGTCAGTTTTCCCATTGATGGTTTGCTATGACGCTCGGCATTTCACCTCTCTGAGTACGTTTACCATTATTTCTTCAGGAGAAGTCACACCCTCCCACTGTCTTTTCTGAAGTTGAGGGTTTCAAGGAGATTCTGCCAGTTAATTCTCCTATCTTTTGCGGTCTCTTCCGCGATATCAAAGCCTATTTCTATTGTGTTATTGTCGAACTTATTGGTGTAGTCTTGATATTTCGAATCAAGCTCCTTCTTCATACCCGGGATGTATACCTTTCGTGCCCCTCGTGAGATTTAAATTCCTGAGATCTCCTTAACCACTGCCACAAAAATATCATATTCCTCCAGTTCCGAAGGGACGCGACTTACTCTGTTGTCAAGCGCTTCCCTGAACCCCTTCCAGTCAGATTTTTTGAAGTTACAACGAAACCTTTCCTCCATCTACAACTGTTGAAGGAAACCGGTAGCTTTGAGTCATGCATCAGGTTTAGGTCGTTTCTTTCCGCTCAGTCCTCCACCGTTGCCGTTTGGATCAGTTTCCCTTCTTATGAAGCAGTTTTCCAGTTCGATGATGAGCACTTCGATGTCCGTCCCATTTATCTGCGTTGCACTAAAAAGCTGAATATTCTGAGCGACCAGGATTGCGCTGCTGTTTCCCATAGGGTCTTTCGACTACTACCTTCATTCCAGCTATTTTGCGTCCGCGGAGTTATTTAGTTAATTTTTATTTTATTGGTCGATTAAACATTATTATGTGTAGTAACGTAGTAGTGTGACCAGTCCGCCCCGGGTCGGATACGAACTCGTCAAAACTAGTGCGGGGTAGATATAAACAAATAAGAAGCAAATAAACTTTCAAATGGACAGTAATCGTCAATAGTGGTAGGATGTTTTATACATACTTACTTAGAAATACATGCTAACAAGGAAAGCACATTATACCTTAACAATTCATTTTAAATAATATTAAATTGTATGTCAAGTCAAGGAGACCAAGTGTTTATAACCACACTTGCTGTAAGCCCATGTACTACCTTTGGTAGCACATGATAAAGTACCTGTTGTCTGAATTTAGTCATTTACCTATAACAGATCACGAGCGTAGAGTAATAGCTTGTTTGTATATCGATGGCGTCACGACAAAAACGCGTAAGCGCCAAAAAATGAAAAACAAGGTTTTAATGTCAATTTAAGTAAATTAACTCAGCTAATCATCTAATATAACGCCTGCAAGCGACAAAAATTTCCTTCGTCAGTAAATTGAGCTAAAATTTTTGTAAGCGACAATTTCATTCTAAGAAAAATCGAGGTAAACAGCATTAAGCACCACTCTTTCATACAGAGAGGTTAGCCTTACGCTCATTGTCGAGACGTCGAAAAATTTTAAAAAAGTAAGTTTCATTACAATTTTTCTTTATTAATTATTGTTATAGCAAGCTGTCGATATTAGTTTTAATTTTAAGATAGTTTTAGATACTAAGAAAAACGCATACATTTGTTTTTGTCGCTTACGCCTTTTCAGTTTTACATTTTAGGGTGGCGTAAGTACCATTTTGCTATGACACTTCATGCAATTTTTAATTTTATTTTTTGTTAACGACTCTGTAGTAAATTTGAATATTAATACGCAATTTCATTGTNTCCTCTGTACAATTCTAGTTAAGATTTTTGACGCATGGGAAGTTAAGCTAATTGTTCGAAATTTCTCGCACCTATCCGCGCCCCTTTTCTTAGGTAATGTTACTACTACGTTCCGTTTATAATCCTCTGGGACTATCCCCGTTTCGTAAATGTGACTAAATAACTTGAACATACGATATGGAAGGAAGTCAAATAATTGAGGATGAAAAGAGCAGTAGAGATATAAAATAATAACAGTTATTTAGGATTTTACTTTTTTGATACTTTAAGCTTATTTTAACACTCCTTAAATGGTGTAAATATTAAACAAATAAACTAAACGATGTAAAACTTACAATATTCTATAGTAGTAGTAGACAGCATCGGCTTGATCGTTATTATCCTACGTTAAATATTCCTCTTTCAATAGATTCAGGAAAATTAAACTGCGAAGTGCGAAGCTCGTTTCATGTACTTAGGAAAAAAGTTTAAGAATCGATTCAATTAACAAAACGGTAGATAGCGAATTCAACAGAACCAAGCAGTAATCAGATAATTAATTAGTTTGAAATTAAACAACACAACTTTTCTTCATCAGACTAGATTTGAGCACTGTGTGTAGCTCTGTAAAGGGGGTAGAGAGGTCTGATAAAAGGCTTTTCTGACCTGTATGAGGGGGAAGTTGATAGCTGAACTAGTGGATTCTTTATTGTTAAAAAAAATGAATATTTTGATAGATCAAAGAAGAAAATGTAGAAATTTATCGTGAAATATTTTCACTAAAAAAATGTCCATCAACAACTTCTACAGTTCAAGACACTATTGTTTGTAAATATTAATTGATTTCTCTTCTACTTAACCAACTTCAGTTACTTCTTCACGGATGCTATTTACTGCCTGAAATTTCAGGAAATTCATGTTAATTATCAGCTTATGACAGTCGTTTTCCTTCTCACTACCCTCCATGCTGCAATAGTATGCATGTGTTGCTAATGAGAAAGGTACTTAAGCCCATAATATCGGAAGAGACGTTGACATCGCCTTATCTGAGGTTGCCCCTGGATTATTTAGATTAACAAGGTGATCCCTACCTTGAAGCCCCCTTGAGCGATTGATTAGAATACGCACAATTAACGCGCGGCGCTAGAAACCACTGCTACCAGTTTTATCTAGGAGATGAGCCATACCGCCCAGAACCCTGTGCTACAACTGGGACCTATATAATCCCGACTAAATTAAGCAGGCTAAAAAGAACTTAAAAAAAAAATTGAGTTTCATTTCCACCAACCACTAATGCTGGTGGGCGCGCAGTCCCTCCGGACTACGTCGGAAGGTAGTGCGGAAGACCATCTTCAGTCTCCTTTCAAGAATCGTGGGAATGTGTAGGTGGTGGTTCTGGTGAGAAAGATGAGACGTATGAAATGAAGACATAAGAGAACGAAAAATTATTCGTGGAATATTACTGCCCCAGCATTTACCTACGTGATCCAAGGAAACCACAGAAAAACCTGGCCCAAGGCAGACGAACCCGGAATCGAACCGGCGTCTTTCCAAATGCTAAGCTATGGTCTAAACCTCTAAGTAATGCCGCTCGGTCATCTCTTAGCAGGCTAGGTACTCTAACAGATATACGCGAGTCACCCGTCGAGGAGCATCTCCTCTCCCCCAGCATACCGAGTGTAACCACAGCCATTAGAAGTCCCACCTCAGATAACCGAGCATACAGAAAAATTTCCCATATGAGACTCGCGAGCCTCCTGTAGGAACCAGTATCTAATTCGGAGGTTCGCGAGTCTCATATGTCCCCCTCCAAGTCGGATTACTTGCACTCCCGCACTGATAGACCTCTCGTGTTCATGGGATGGCCACCATCCCCAGAATCTTTACACTTATTTTGCCCCTTAATGAATCTTTACTAAAGCAAGCTAAAGAGAGCTTTCCACTCTATCCTTTGGCTTTTGAAATGTAACAGCCAGAGGTTTTTTGTTAACCAACTAATTTTGCAGACGTTGCATTAGCTTCCCATTGTACGATAGCGTGAATTACTAGTCTAAGTTGCTCCATACTTCACTTTTCTGTCGTTATTAGCTGCAAATTAGTTGTGTGATTTACAATTTTTTACTTCATCCTCCGTGATTGTTATTTATAAATCAAGTGTACCTGTCATAGACTAAAAGTACTTATATCCCTTTTTCTATTCAGGAAACGTCTCACACTCCGTCTGGAGTGTTCGGTTTTAAAACAGTGCTGCAATATGCATTAGGCACAAGTAGGAGTTTTGAATTGCTGCCAACGCAACTAGCAGCAACAGATGGAAAGTACTTTTATGGACTGTTTTTCGTTTTCTCAAACTGGAAAACTGCTCGAGACCCTTTATATTATAACCAGAACACGTCAAGCAACAACACGCTATCGCAATCCCCATAAAATCTCTTTGTATAAGGTACGTTATAAGCATCCGCAAAAACTTGACAATGGAATTAAAAAAGTTCTTAAATGATACGTGACCAAATACGTTAATTCACCATTGAAGTATTCCTTTATTTAAAATTGTTTTCAATTTTGGATCCTTAAAGAACATATTTCCTTCACATATATATGCTTTATAAAATTTAACATTGCATGTGTATGAAGGGTGTGTTACGAAATATAACCCAGCATACTGACCAGTGCTGATGACGTAATGAATCGACGCCATACTGTTGATTCGTTCCGAAAT